TGGGTGTGCGCGAGCAAAATACCCTGTGGGGTTTCTGAACAGACCCCTCGCTCGTGCAGTCACTTTCAATTTGCAGGGGACTGAGGTGAGATCATCCTTCTGGCCTTATACTTCTATTGTTATTTTTAAATAACAATTGTTCTGCGTTTACTATTTAAATAACAAATGCAAGTGTTTTGCAAAGTTTTGGCTTCCTGAAGAAGCAGCTTCCCCTTTGAAATCTGCTTTTGAAAATGTGTCAAGTCATTCCCTGGGCAAGTTTCTGTTTCAGTTTCCACTTGCTTTTCTGATTCTGGGTTTCCAGAAAACAGGAGAGGTTTGGTTTTCAGAGTCACTTCTGTTGCTTTCATTTTTTCTTTTTTATATTTCTCCCCTACCTGAAGCTGAGAAAAGCATTATTTCACACTGCTCGTGACACAGCCTTGTCATTTGGTAGAAAGAGGCTGGTGACTGCAAGCGTGCAAGGTGCAGAGCACAGGGTGAAGATCCCAGAGCTGTATTTCAGCGAGCAGCGAAGGCAGTGGCAGTCAATTTGCTTATCAGCATGAGGGGCGGTGCAGACTTTATTTCTGAGAAGGTGAGAGCAAAAGGTGCAACAATGCTAATACAACCTGCCTGGTATGATTTCCTTCGGCAGCCCTGGTTTGAAAATGAGGCCCAAAGCAGGAGGCAATGGAAAGCTGAGTGTGTTACCGTGGGGCAGCAGAACGGCATCGCTTTCCATCCCCGGTCCAGGGACTTTAAGATCCATCAGGTAGCTCTACGCTGCACTGCTGACTGCAACATAGACACATACGCACTCCTTTGGAAAACCAACTGCACAATATGATCAGTCCTCTTATTTGATGCACAGTGTTCTAGTTAAGAAGAAACATTATGATGTGTGCTAACCACTAGAGCTAATGGCAGGCTGGGTTCAGTCTCCTGAGGAGAATATGACTCATTGCTCAGGGACTTTTTTTTTTAACCATCCTTGTTGTACTGAGGTTGGGGAATTCCGGTGTGATGAAAGAAAAATTTCTCAATTTCACCACCACAAATTTATGAGGTTTGGTGCCTCCGTTTTAACATCTGCCTGGTTCAGATCAGTTATACTAACTGACTCACTGAAGCCCTGAGAGGTGGACAAGCTTAGTTTCTGGTGGCCAAATGCCACACTCTGACAGACAAAGCCAGAAGCAGAGAGAAGTCAAGGTTGAAGTCAAGCACCTGCCAACATACCTTTAAGCTACTCTTCCTGGGTGGGACACGGTACAGGCCTGTCTACCAGGGTTGGTGAGTGCATGGAGCTTTCCTTCCTTCCTGTCTTGGCTGTGCCTCTACATAACTGCAACAGGAATGATGGCACAGCCTACCCCACTGCCATGCTGCTTTTCTGAAGGGCATTTTATTCTCTTTTATACGTGGAGCCTGGCCAAACCATGGCAATGAGCAAGGCACTGTCTCAGCATGTCAGATATGTACACAGATAGCACAGACACAAGTCATTTATACAATGCTGTGCCTTAACCAGTCCATAGGTGCACATCTGGTGCGTGGATATCCCACCACCCAGCTACAGCAGCCTGAAGGCTTTCCTCCGAAAAGCAGTACAGTGTGGGGACTTTGGCAGTATAGTAGTGGCAAGCTGATTGATTAAACACTTAGAAAGGTTAGAGGCAAGGGGATCCAAAGCAGGGTGGAAGGTTTTTCCGAGCATTTAGCATCTATGTGGTGCTTGAGACCTGGGGAAGAGCTGTACAGCCTAAACTGGGTCTGGGCTTGGTAACAAAGCACATTCTGTGGCTTTCAGACCTTCTGTGGGTCAACTCTATAAAAGGCTTAAAGTTTTTGAAGATAACCCAAGACCTCCTTTTCTTTTCAGGCTCCTGCTTAGTGCCATGGACTGATTTCTAGTTGTGTTCAAGGGCCACACACGACCCTTCCAGGCACCTTGCTACCAGCAGCGTGACCTTTTGGAGCAGCCCCATGTGGCTGTGGGTGCGCAGCATTGCCCAGGGCCCAATTGCTGGCATGGGGAATGCTGCTGCCAGATCTGTCCTGCCCTTCCCGCAGCCCCGGGGCCAGGTGGCAGTAATTGGGCCCTACCCCACACGCCGGCACATCCCGACTGGCAGCTGGGAGCAAGCCCAAGCAGGCGTCCTCACATTTTGGCTGAGTCTTGACACTGGCTAGAGATTGTCTCTCGGGAACTGATGCCAGAGCCAAAGAGGAAAGTCATCCTGCTTCCTGTGGGACCTGGAAAAAAATAAATCCCTTTCCACCAAGGTCTCCTCTTCTGTTCAAAGGTTTTGTGAGACTTTGCATAAATGGGTGTGTGAGTGGGAAAGGCCTCACTGCAAAGAAGCTCAGCACTACTGGTTTTTTGAATTTAGGAGCCGAGCCCTCTGTGCTCTGTGATGGAAGAAAGGTAAGGCGTTTTTGTTTTTTTTCAGGAGGGTGATCTCCCTTTTTGTGATTTACTGACCTGAGTAAAAGAAAATCTAAAAATGACATCTATAGGTTGCACGGTAAGAAGGAAAGAGAGGTCATGCACTATGTGGATTTTATTCTTTTTTTTTTTAATGACCGTGATGTTTTCATTGTATCAGTTCCCACATTAGAAAAGCTAGTGTTGCGTGCTTGCATATGGAGTCTTCATAGCTTGTGCAGGTTGACTTCCAAAAACCATAGTTCTGTTGTGCTGCTTCAGCTCCTGCTGCTTTGCAGGGTTTTAACATTAGAAAAGTCTTGCAATCATTGCACGCATGCATGTAGCATAGGACTGGAAGAATGAGATACCACCCACTGTGGGAGAAGACCAGGTTCGAGACCAGCTGAGGAACCTGAAGGTGCACAAGTCCATCGGACCTGATGAGGTTCATCCACGGGTCTTGAGGGAACTGGCAGATGAAGTTGCCAAGCCACTATCCATCATATTTGAGAAGTTGTGGCAGTCCGGTGAAGTTCCCACTGACTGGAAAAGGGGAAACATAACCCCCATTTTTAAAAAAGGTAAAAAAGAAGACCCGGGGAACTACAGACTGGTCAGTCTCACCTCCATGCCCAGCCAGATCATGGAGTAGATCCTCCTGAAAACTCTGCTAAGGCACATGGAAAATAAGGAGGTGATCGGTGACAGCCAACATGGCTTCACCAAGGGCAAATTGTGCCTGACAAATTCTGTGGCCTTCTACAATGGTGTTACAGTGTTGGTGGATAATGGGAGAGCTACAGATGTCATCTACATGGACTTGTGCAAAGCATTTGACACCATTCCGCCTGACATCCTGGTCTCTAAATTGGAGAGACATAGATTTGACCAGTGGACCACTCAGTGGATAAGGAACGGGCTGGATGGTCACACTCAAAGAGTTACAATCAATAACTCCATGTCCAAGTGGTGAACCGTGACAAATGGTGTTCCTCAGGGGTCAGCGCTGGGACCGGTGCTGTTTAACATCTTTGTTGGTGACATGAATGTTGGGATGGAGTGTGCCCTCAGCAAGTTTGCCAACGGCATCAAGCTGCGTGGAGTGGTTGACACACTGGAGGGGAGGGATGCCATCCAGAGGGACCTGGACAGGCTTGAGAGGTGGGCCTGTGCAAACTTCACGAAGTTGAACAAGGCCAAGTGCAATCCCAAGCAGAAATACAGGCTGGGCTGAGAATGGATTGAGAGTAGCCCTGAGGAGCAGGACTTTGGGGGTGTTGATTAATGAGAAACTCAACATGAGCCAGCAATGTGTGCTCGCAGCCCAGGTGGCCAACCGTACCCTGGGCTGCATCAAAAGAAGCCAGCAGGTTGAGGGAGGCGATTCTCTCCCTCCCATTCTCATGAGACCCCACCTGCAATATCAGGTCCAGCTCTGGAGCCCCCAACATAGGAAGGACATGGACCTGTTGGAGCAGGTCCAGAGGAGGGCCACGAAGATGATCAGAGGGCTGAAGCACCTCTCCTATGAAGCCAGACTGAGAGAGTTGGGGTTGTTCAGCCTAGAGAAGGGTCCAGGGAGACCTTATAGCAGCCTTCCAGTACCTGAAGGGGGCCTACAGGAAGGCTGGAGAGGGACTTTTTACAAGGGCATGTAGCGATAGGATGAGGGGTAATGATTTCAAAGTGGAAGAGGATAGATTTAGAATAGATATTAGGGGGGAAAAAAATCATTCTGAGAGTGGTGAGACACTGGAACAAACTGCCCAGGGAAGTTGTGGATGCCCCGTTCCTGGAAGTGTTCAAGGCCAGGCTGGATGGGACTTTGAGCAATCTGGTCTAGTGGGAGGTGTCCCTGCCTATGGCAGGGGGGTTGGAACTGGATGATCTTTGAGGTCCCTTCCACCTTAAACCAGTCTATGATTCTATGATTGCAGACAACAAGGGAAATAATAATTTTTACTTAGTGCTGGAAGCTTTTGCATAGAAAACTTGCACATATATACACACATATAAATACACACACAAAAAAACCCCCTCTGTATACACATATACAGAGGTGCCTTTATACAAGGGAGAAATCCCATTTACATCATAGTAGCATTTAATTGTACAGCAACACCTATATTAGAAATTAATTAGGTGTATATGATACAATTTTTTTCTTCAAGTATTCTTCCTTGTACACTTCATAGACACTTAACACCAGAGTTTTCACTTTGAAAAATGCAACACCCCACAATTTTAATGTAAGCAAAACATTACACTGATTAAGTAATGCAGGACCATACATTTAGACTAAACCTTTCCTTCAAATAAGAAATAAGAGTATTTCTTGTTTCTTCTTGTAGTGAATCCTATAGCTAGAATCTTCCATTGTAGTAAATAAGCCGTAAAACTTCTCCTTCTAGTTCTTAACAAGTAAAAAGCTAAAACTTTTTTAAATGAAAGATAGTGCTACAAAAATTGTAATTATTCCTTACTCATATAGCTTCCTTGAATCAAACTGCCAATGAAAAAGGCTTTGTTATTTATATTATTAGAAAAATACTAATTCAGTCAGGAACAATTTTCAAATTACTCTCTGTTATGTCTCTTCCAAACTACCAGAACAGGTTTTACTTAGCTCAGCACTATCACTGTAAGAGTTTCTGCTTTCCTGAGGGCAGGTTTTGCTTTGCTCAGTGTCATCACTATAAGATTGTCCCCCTTCCTGACAGCTGGAAACAGCTGCCTTCAGTTTCTCCTCAATTTTATCAGCTGCAGCGCACATTTTCAGCTCTCTCAGGCTGCATATTAAAGTTCCATAGGCTCCTTTTATCCCATGTCTTTGATACCAGACTTGAAACAGCTTAATCTTCTGTTCAGATGTATCATTAAAATAATCCCGAACAGTTTGATCTATGACAGGTTCTGGTACTTTGCGATTTCGAACAAATGTCTTGACTTCTTGGAGCGTCATCTCCTCCACAATACCAGCAATATGGCTGCTCAGGTCAACATCTAAAAGCAGAAAAGAAAATCAGTGCTCTTGGCACTTATATCCTACTGGTTTTCATCACCTGCGTGCAGAGTTGATACTCTTCCTATCCCAAACAGCTTAAGTTTCAGGTATTCATGACTCAGTATGTTTTATATGCGATTTTTTACAATATATAGTGGCTCTGCTTTTACATGTTCCTACCAAATGCTAGATAATTCAAATATTTAGGGCTGCATCCATATTGCTATCTATCACTAGAAACTGAATCTCACTTCCCTCTGTAACCTATTCAGTCCTCCTCTGTCATTAAAGACTGGTCATGCCTCATGTACCTGTTTTGCTCAAAATAGCGTTGTGAAAGGTCCTGGAAGAGGACAGGTCTTTCATTGTGATACAGCCTTTGAGCTTATGTTCTCTTCCTATTGTGTGTTACTACTCTGGATTTGCCCTTGAACATAAGGTAGGTTTGTGTTTCTGCGATCCCACTGCCGGCTGTGGGACTACTCTGTTACCATAATTATCCATGACTCTAGAAATCCAGCTTGCCGCCTCTTCGTGTCTGTACCACATGCAGAACAGAAATTCACCTGTTGTCAATTAGTAATTGCTTCCTATACAACAGAAATTCCTCCTGAGGCAAAACTTTCATGATAACACTAAATGCCTTAATAAGCACAATGTGAACTGTGTTCACTGTTGTGCTAGAATGACAGCTCTAGGCAGTGGCAAAGTCTACACAAAAACATTCTTCTTTGTTTTTTAGTGTAGCATTTACTTGTATGTATTTTTTTTCTTCTGCTGAATTTTGAGAAATTACGTGTCTCTTACCTGTGTATATGAGAGGTACATTCTCCTGAAAAGAGAAGCAAGAGAGCAATGGGTAGAAACAAGTTTTGTAAAACACCAACCTTGTATAAGAGGATAAACACATCTCATGACACTGGACTTCTGTAATTTTCTTTCAGTTTTCTCCGTGATCCCCCTGTTCTATAAGCGAGGCAATGAGACTGGACAGACAGACCTCTTGTGACTTGGGTAAGTTTGGGGAATAGCCTCACAATTGCTGTTGCCTAAAAGTATGCACGGGGACAGGTACCCTGGGTCAGTGGAGGCCTGATGATTTATGGAGTTTTGATCTTGGTCGTGTAACTTAGGAAGCACGTCAACAAGTCCTGAAGAAATAATACAGCGTTTTCTCTTACTTTTCCCAAAAGAGTCCTCATGGTGAAATTTACTTCATTAATGTCATAGAAGAGAGGTGTGTACATGCTTGGGGAGCCCCCGTGTAACTTAAATGGAACAAAGCTCCTTGCACGTAGCTGAGCTTTTGTTATCGAAGCAACAATACTTACATAAGCAGCCTCTGGTTTGACAACTAGTTCAACTGGGTTCTCCTTGCTAGCACGACCCTTCTGTCTTCTCACGTCTGAAACAAAAAAAGCAATTTTTAAATCTCCTCTGGATTCCAAAGAATGTAATACATCTGAGTAAGCAGCTGAATATCTTACTCAGAGTATGATAGGAATAAGGAACAGGGAATCACTTACAGTAATATATTGCTGCAGCTGCTCCTAATATTAGTAACATAATTACCATAGCAATGGCCCACCATGGCATTCCTGTTTATGTTCAAACATTGGAAACATTACGTGAAAGTTAAGTCAAGAAATTAAATACAGCAACACACTCTAAATTTTAAACAAGATTGCATCAGATTATAAAAGGCTTTCTGTTGTCTCCTAAATGGCAGCAGCCACCTCTTTGGTAAAGTCTTACCCATCATGGGTCTCCCCTAAATAGAAGTAATAGCTCCTACATCTGCACAGTGATCAAGGGAAAAGAGCAACCACGCTCCGCAGGTCAGTACAGGGCCCAATAGGTATGATGCCCTTAGCTGTCAGGAATCACGATGCGCCATGGTATAGAACAGTACCATGACAATAGCCTCTCAAAATACAGCAGCTGCTAGACCATGCTGGGGTTTGAAATGGTACCTTTCATTCCGCACACCGTGTCTGAAGTTGAAGTACATTGTTTTTCAATTACGCCACTTTCACATCTGCAGGAAACATGAACAGAAATTATTATGGGATTTGTTTCTCTTTTTATAAACTCTGTCAACAGAGAAAATCAACATCATCTAACACTTTGTACCAGCTAAATATTTCACATATCAAGGTGTTGGAGTCTGGAATTTAGTAGGCATGAAAATGGTATGGAAAGGTGTGGGAGTGGAAAAAGGTGTGGAAATTATTTTCTAGATGTAACAGCAGATTACAAAAGACAACAGGAAAGCTCAGATACTTCATTACATTTTTTGAGAAGTATATACAGACTTGGTGGATGTATACAAGCTTTTCTGTGTGCCTTTGGAAAGCCCGCATGGATGCAAGTTAAGTTGACTGAGCTAAGTCAGCTCAACAAGCTAAGTGCAAAGGCAAACTAGTATGTTTTCCTTCAGGTTGTACATTCCCTTAGCCTCTGTCTTGAAACTGGCTGGAAAAAAGCGTGATAGCATATGATATTAACAATTTCATATTTAATGATGAAGGCATAAACTTACATGGTACACGGATAACAGTGCGTGCATGGTACAGAAGAATTGCAAAAATGGCTCTTGGCACAGGTGCATTCTGTGTTCTGTCCTGGGGTACAGTTCTTTGCGACCTCCAAACCTAAAATAAATTTCTTAGATTATTAGTTTGAAAAAGCAGGCCTTAAAAGCAGGCCTCTGCTCACAAGCTCCTGTCCTCAGACTTACGCGCTTTTAGCTCTACCACTGCTGGCAGTGGTGAGGCTTAATTGTTAAGAACAACATAGGTTTTAAAAGGAGCCCTGCTGCCAGAGTACTGGAAAGACGGAGATGGCAAAGAGACCTCTGCTGGCCAAGAGCTCAAAGAGCCAATCACACGGCAAAGTACCCGCTAGAAGAGGACTGATTTGGCATTGCCAAATGTTGTCAGCTTCTTTTTCCCATTCAGAACTGTAAAGCCAGAAGGCAACTCAAAAGATCACATAACCCATCTTCCTGCTTGATGTCAGAGACAAGTTCTTTATTCTCCCTGACAGACAACAAATTTATCTCTTCTTGAGGACCTCCAATGGTGAGGAATTCCACTCCCTCTTTTAGCTAACGTATTCCCTGCTTAAGTATCAAAACAAGTGAATTAACTTTCTCCTATCCTTAGTGTATATGATGAAGCTATCTCCATCTATGAAAAATTATTTCTGCATTAAAAATTATGTATCTACCTACTATAAAAGCTATTTTCATAGGCATATAGGAATAGACGTGAATTTTTGAGTTATCACATTCAGTGCCCTGCTGTAACGGGAAAACATGTTATCTTTCAAAATCTGATGAAGCTCTACTGTGAAACCAGTGTTGAAGCCATTCATGGAAATATCAAACGTGAATGATCCTAAGAATGGTTCTTATGGAACTTCAGTGGTCATTTTCCTCCTGCCTAATTTTTTCTACTGACTTCTCTTCAACTACATTCTTGTCCCTGGGATAATGCGACCAGTCTTCCCATTACCCTTTCTTTCCCCTTCAGTTTAATTAATAGTTTCCTTTGTGCCACTGTACAAAATGCTGAATTGTTTTGCTGTACTCAACTTCATTACCCATCCAAAACCGCCTATTATAGTAGCTAATGAGAGAAAAAATTTTCATGCTTAAGGAGGTGTCCTAGGAAGGGGAAAGCACTAAAGACTGATATTCCAGCAGTTGATCTGAGTACAACCATACTGGAGTTAAGAGCCGCCTCACTGCTCACCCAACTCGATTTTGGACATGAGGAATGCAGAAGTATCATTCCCTAAATCCAGGTATGCTAGAACTACAGGACACCTGTTTAATGGATTAAAAAAAAAAAAAAAAAAAATCTATGATGGGTATTTATGCAACAGGGCAACAGCTAGAATTTCTGCAACCTGGTGTCCCCCAGCATGTTCATGCACAAAGGGCTCATAAATGGATACTAAAATGACTAAGTAGGGATGGACTTTCTAAAGTCCTTTCCCACAGCTGTGGATAATGGTAGACGCTGCAGGGAATAGACCACAGAAAGTAGGCAAGTTTGTTTGTGTTTTCTCTAAATAGCGTCTCTTGCCTCCACTGCTGAATGCAGAATACTGGGGTAGGTGGACCACTGGTCTGAGCCAGTAGGGCATGTCTCATCATTTGATCCTATATCCCACACAGCATCTTGAATGTATAAAAGACATCACTCTATCAGCTCCAGCAATTTTAAATAATACTATAATTAATAACATGAAAGACTACAAAAGAAACTATTAGGAATTCTCCCATCCTTGCTTCTTACAACACCCCTCTTCTTTTAAACAGAGGGCCAAAAAGAGAGAGAGCTTTTCTTCCTTGACACTAACCAGTTTGTATAGGCTCTGCTTTGCAAGGACTGCTTTGGCTGAGCAAAGGTAGACATAAGGCGAAGTAACGGACCAACATAGTTTGTTCTTCTTCCTACTTTGTGCTTGAGGAAAGGGAACTGGAGGGTAAAGTTATGACTTTGTCATAAATTTCTTCATGTACTAAAACATTTTAATCTGTCAGCTACCCGCTATTCAGGAACTGTGGAGACTTTCCAGTCAAATCCTGTATCAAAAAAGAGTCATTGCTAGAGTCGATATTTCTATAAACGTACCAAATGTTATGTCACACGAAGAGCATCTGAAACACTCTTCCAATTCATTGACATAATCTACATACTCCTTTCCGTTTTCACATGGAACACAGTGTTTACTGGTATCTGTTGGGCAGTCAATACTTCTAACAAAACCTGTAGAGACAGAAAAACAAGAATTAAGACTTGCAATACCTTTGGACAGAAGCTATCAGCTCTAAGACCTATGCCAGGCTGTCTTTTTAACCCCTAATACTTTTTCGATTAACAAATATGGACAGAATCTATATTTTTTACTCATACGTATATGCTCTTCAGGAATGTAATATACATAAGATCTGATTATCCCCCCTCTTCCTCCAATTTAGGACTGAAGGAGTACACACCAAACAAAACTGCACAGGCAAAATTTGAAAACCCATGAACATATGGGGTCCTGTAGGCAAAAGCCTGTGTTTGCACTTTTTAACCTCTTTCAAAGACATGTATTTAATTCTTGGCTCTTTTGTGACAAGTATGTTATGCGAAAACTACTATCTGTAGTGAAAAGTTACTGGGGCATTGAGCTCAAGAAATACTTTTAAAGCATCTGATGTCCTGTAATAGAGAAAGATACAGCCAGAATGAAGCATTGCATCCAGGAAACCCCAGCGTGCCATTTTGCTATCCCCGCAGAAAGCAATTGTGCACGTTGTGGTTTCCACTCTTAAATGACTTTTCAACACAGTCTTATAATGATACTCACCACGTTCACATTTCTTGCAACACCGAGCACCTGAATTGTATTCTTCCTGGTTACATTTAATTTCCCTCTTAGCAATGATCCTCCTTGTAATTAATTTATTGTATGCTGTGTTTATTAGAGCTTCAGTATCATTTTTGCACTGCATTTCAATAATTAAGACAGCCACCTAGGAGAGAAGAACAGCAAGTTATAGGGAAAAAAAAACCTGTCAGGGACTGTAGGTGTGTTTTACTACTAGCCCAGAGTTACATCAATACTCTTACTCTATTGCTAAACATATTGATATTCACTCCCTTATTAAAGTTTCTCATTACTTCAGAAGAGTTAATGGACAATGAGGACATGTACTAGATTTAATGCTATCAACCCTACCCCTGCAGGTATTGATCATTTGAACATTTGAGAACAGGCCCATACATCTGAGTTGTAACAATTACCTCATATGCCTCATTATAGTGCAAAGCAAAGGAACTCACATTATTTTCTTGCAGAGCTTTGTCTGCCTCAGATCACTGTGCCTTAATCTGCCCTTTCTTAGCCAGTAATAATAATCTTCCACACAGAATTTCCTAAATTCGAATATCTTTCTTGATTTCTTGCCACCCTACTGTTGCTTGAAAACTGAACAGTGTTAATGCATTTCTGAAGGAAAAAAAAAAAAAAGGAATGTTTTGATCTCAGCCAAAAGTACCCGATTTCTAAAATGATTTTGTCCTCACTTTGTTTTCCAGTTCAATTACTTTTCTCTTTAGTAGATTATGCCTATATATTCCTGAAAGAAATAGCACTCTCCTTTCAAATTAATTTACTCCTCAATCCATTTCTTTGAATGCACTGTCAAGTTAAATTGCTTGGGTTTATATTTTTTTCCTGTTACTAGTCAGTAGTAACTTCACTAGCCATCACTGTCCTGTCCCTTTTCATGATAATAAGAAAGGACTGTGGACCAGAGGCCAAACCATTCTTTTCTTTTATTTTGGGAGTAACGAGGGATAGAGAGAAGGATGGGTCTGCTGCCTCTTGGCAACAGTTTGTGGGAAATTCTGTATATACTTTGCATGCATTAAGTATGAGATGTCTGTATAATGGAGCGATGTAATACTTGTTGGCTGCAGAACTAGGCTTCTTCCTAGAAATATTATTATGTGGGAGAGCTAAAGGATAGCCTGCCTTTATTTAACATGATTTCTGCTGATAGTTTGGAGCAATTTTCATGATTTATTTTACCTGTGTGTTCCTAACTATCTGTGTGGAGCTATAACAGAAAAAATTAAGACAGTCCTTGTCTTGAAAAGTTGGAAGTCTTAACATCTAAGTGGAGCTCCACATTCACTGTTGTTACTCCTCTAAAAAAAGAAGTTTCACACTTCACAAAAGATGAGAAGATGCGGGGGAAGGGGAAAAATGATGCCTCAGAAGAAATGGAGCAACGCAATTATCTTTGGCAAAATGAAAGAACAGGCCAAGTTGTGAAGGAGAGGGACGGTGGGGTACCTTTTTCAGAAAGGAGATTAGTGGGGAATGAGTTGCAATACAAAGAAACTGCTGAAGCCTTGTACCAACGGCACAGTGCATGGACTATAAAAGTCCTGCTGATCACACATTAACTCACATTTTAAATGAGCATGCAAAATGCTTTGATTTGAATAATATACTTTTAATTTTTTCTAAGCTATTTGAAATAGGTTAATTCTGAATGGTTGGTTATCTTTGAACATGTTGTGGTATTTTTTTTCCCTGCCAGGAGGTGGTATTTAATGGCTGTTTAGTCTTCATGATTTTGTGTGAAACTGCTCAGGTGCCAACAGTAGCTTTAGTTAGATGCAGAAAACTCTTTAATTATCTTAAATATTAACTTACTGAAAAATGGGTTTGGATTTCAAACTGGGCTCTCAAGTGAAGGAAGTGTTATCTGTGGCTAATTAATTGAAGTAACCGATATGACCGCTGTCTGCTGACTTCTACAAGTAGCCACTTCTTTTGATCCTCTAGTCTATTCAGAGACAGGATTTTTCTTTCCTTAGCAGCCATCTGTTTTAAAAATTATATAATATTAGTTACTAGACTGAAATTAAGGAGGTCTTTCTTTGCACCTGGGGGAGAAGCTTCAGCTGCTAAAAAAATGTGGTTTAGCACTTGAGAAGCTGTGGGTACGGATGCTCATCCCATCACTTCCCGACTTCAGTGCTCTGACTCTCTTACTTTGCTGCCAAAGCTTTGAGGGTGCTCTTCTCCGAATCCCAGTGTAATGGTGTTAAAAGGTTAAAGTTAATGTAAGATTTTAACAGAAGCTGTCAAATGATGTCCCAAATTAGCGTGGTTTGTTTTCCTTTTGCCTGGGAGAACCGTCTTACTAAAAGCTGGGATAGAAAGTCCAACTGACTACTTCTTATTAATTACTTTTTAGAGGTGTGCATCCAGTCCGATTTGGCTTTCCCTGAAGCAGAGAGAAGCCCCACACCTCCATCACTCCTCCACGTGTCAGATTGGGCCGAGGGAGGGGACGGTCACAGCACAAAAACACAGGGACACGTTTCGTCCCAGGTCTCTGAGCTGGAGGATCGTGACACCCCAACCAGCCTGCCCGCCATGAGGCCCCGGCCAGCAGAAGGCTCCGGAAGTATGGTGGTCCTCTGGGCGCCATCCTCCTTGACGGCCCCCACAGCCGTGCCGGGCAAAGCTCTGCGCCTACAGAGACACCCCACATCCTGCTGGTGGCACCCAAATCTCCCCTTTTTAGACCAAAGATGTCAAGCCATTCGGAGGGGAGGGAGGGGGGAAGATCCCGGGCAACAGTAAAGAGAAGAGGGAGAGTGAAGATTACAGCAGCCCTGATGCACCCACCAATGGCACCCAGGCACGGTAGGGACACTGAACGGCTCCGGCGAACCCGAGAGCACGCACAAAGAAAGAAAACCTCCAGAGAGTTGTGCAGAAAATGGGATATAATGAAAAAAGGAAACGTCTTTCTAAATGACTGACATCAGTAAAACTTAGCTGAGTTTCTTTTTGTGTTTACTGAACACCCACAATCACCGTGTGTGCACAGACACTGCCTTCCCTCGTGCCTACAAACCTCTCTGCCTCTTGCTTATGCTTTTATATGAACCAGCTACGCTGACTCGGGGAAGGGGGACAGAAATAGAACACTTTCTGATGGAAGCCCTCCGCTTTTGCTCCGGGAGATGAACTTCCTGGTACGCTTATAAGAAGTGGGGATCACTTCTCAGAATTTGGCATTGAAGTAGCACCAAACACCTACATCGGCGCTGCTCGCAGGGACGCCTCACACCGCCTTCCTGTACAAGGAATAATGACAAAACTCTGTAAAGTTTTCAAAGCAACGTCCTATTTTTTTCCCACTTTTTTTCTCCTCCTGGATTTGCACCCTCTGAAAAGCAATCCATTTGCTATATAAAAATTTTGGTGCATCTTATAGGAGAAAAAAAAAAAAAATCACTAGTCATTTAGCTTCCTGCACACACCTCAATTGCCTTCCTTGTCACTGAGCAGCGAGTGCTAATAGCGGAAAGAAGCACTTTAGGGGCTTTTACAGAAGCAAGGGTGATAGGTGCTTTTTTATCGTGCGTACATTCAAAGAGCAGCTGTACGTTTTCAGCCTAAAATGACTCACAGAGGCTCTCTTCTACCCTTCTCATCTTAACCTAAAAAATAGCCGTCATATCTAAACTGAAGACTTAGATTGAACTAAGCAGTCAATGGGGATAAAATCAATCAATGGGGCATACCCAACCTTCACAGAATCCAGAAAAATTATCACCAGTCCAAATTTTTTGGTTTCTCTCCTTTTGCATTGCCCGAACATTTAAGTGAGCCTTCTACCTTCTCCCTCTCCTTCACTCGTACAGAGTCCTCCAAAATGCTTTCACTAAAAGGCATCTGCTAAGGAGACTTATAAAACCTGGTTTCATCCGGGTTCCCGGGGCAGAGTGACAGGAACTTTAGCTTCTTTGAAAGCTCGTGTCATTTTGGGATTCTCATGCCTCCGATTCTTTCTGTATCAGAGCGTTCTTCATAATGGGTCAACTTCCCTCAACTGAAAAGTTTCTGCAGACCTACCTTATGGGGACATAATCTCAGCTTCAGGAGTGTGTGAACGTATTATTTGCATACAGGACTTTTTAAAGCTTTACAACTGTTAACCCTGAGGAAAAAAATTGTCTCTGCTTTCTCCTGTTATCTTTATAATGCACTATATTTTTAGCAAACCACTTCTCCCATTTCTAATCCATAGATGCCTATGGATGAGAAGGCTGATGCCTTCAGAACTTGGGGGCACTTTTTTTCTAATCCATATTTGTTACATGGGGCAACGTGCATGAGCTCATTAGGGGCTTTCTGAGTGTTAAAAAAGGGGGAGAGGGGGATTTCTCTTGCTTTTTTGCCTAGTGGGAGCTGAGAAAAACTTCAACTCATTTTCTGAGTTTTGATTTGCTTCTGGTACTTTTGACAAATGGTTGCTAGAGTTAGCTTCATTTTAATACAGTTTCCTACGTAATTATTCCCCCCTTGTGTTAACCCTGTCAGGGTGGCTTTTTCGAAGAGTAAGTAATTTCACACTGCTTGTTAGGAGGATTCTCTACTCCAATTCTTTTACTACGATAAGTAATTTCTGTTTCCAATATCTCCAGTATCATTTGCCCCCATTTTTTTTTTCCAACAAGGCAGAAGTTGATAGTTAACACCAAAATAACCACTAAAAATAGTATTTTGTGTTCTAAAATTGTTTTATGAGAAGGACAAAAAGTATCCAGTTCCATTTTCTGAAGCCCAGCAATGGGATTTGGTCTTTCCCCACAACTAGAAGCATCCTGAGCTTCCTAAATTTCAAGTGAGATGCATGTTTTCAGTGCCTGTGAGAGTAAAAAGCCTCAGTTACTGTTCAGTGTCTTAAAATAGTCACTGTCCAAATTCAATCCATTACTATTTCACATCTCAGCTGACTCACATGCAAATTATGGCAATATATTAGGAGCTGGGGGTTGTATGGTTGGTCTTTTTTATTATTTTTCTTTGTTTTAATTATTATTTTGTTTTTTAGGAGTATTGTGCTAGTGTATAAATAATAAATACTATACAATTTGGGAGAGTTGGAGCAATATTAACAGCTCCCACCTCACTTTGATGATGTTGTGGCTAAGGATGAATAAGAGCTGGACAGCGCAGGCATTTAGCAACTCTTCCCCTTTTTCCTTTTTCAACACAATACAGTTTTGTTGCTGGTACTTTCTCTTTGTTCAGCGAGTTGCCTCAAAGATAAGGGCTGTTAACTCTGGAAATGTGAGCAGACAAATGTTTCCAGAATTGGGGCCCTTGTACTTTTCACTTGAGTCTTGGTCATCCCGTGACTTTATAGCTGTTTATAAGTAGACATTTAAATGCGTGCATTGGTTGTCTGGGAAATGAGATATAAGGGTCAGCGCAGTAATGTAGGAGTCCTGTTTTCAAAGGTATGTCTTCTAAATTGCCAGAAGACTGCCTGCTCTGTAGTCATATCAGATAATTACAAAATATTTATATAACACTTCACTCTCTTAAGATGGCCTGTTCCTTTAGAGTGTGGCTCTGACTGGTATGTGGTATTGCAGCTTGTTTTACAGGCTAAAGTTAGATGTTTTCTAACTACGTAGGCCATTGTTATTTTTGCACGACTATCCCTGCAACCGCTTCTACTTTAGTGCAACATGGAGTTCCTTGCAAAATTGAGGTCTCATTCAACAAACTACTTTCACATTCTGGTTTAATCAAATTTGCATGTTAAACACTGCCCAGGTGTACTGATTTATAAGTAAGGGAACAACATGCTAATAAACCCCCCCCTATAATTTTATAAAAATAGAAAGTATGTGGGAGTGCTAAAGTCTTTCTAAGGGGTACTGAAATTTGGTAATAGGAATAGGAATGATATTTATTCTCTGGGAGCAGTGTGATAAGAGAAAGTATTTTTAAATCTTAATTTATATCCTGCATAGTTCCAAGATACTGAGCTAGACTGACATTTCTGCCAGTTATCTGCTGCTCCTATACAGGAATAGATAATACACACTTCTGTCAGCAGATGAAAAGTTTTCTTTGTATTTAACTATGCCCCGGTGCTTTGCGCAGGGACATAGATAAAACTCTGAATCACTTCAAAGCGTATACTACCTATTATATAGGAAATCAGATCAGAGTTTGAGTCGGTTTTACCTTAACACCAGATTTTAACCTGCCAAACCCCAAAGCAAACTACATCCATTAGCAACGTAACCACACTGTGAAGAGATTTTGAATGTGAACTCCAGTGAGTCCTCTCTGAGAGGTGAGACTTGGGGCTGGGGAAGCAATGCGTCCCGCATCCACGCTTCCAGGAAGGTGATGGCTCGGCTGTGTAGCAGGGCTTACTGCCACCTGCCTGGTCCCCACTACCCTACCTCCGGGTGCTCGGAGCAGGGCTGCCTCGGGCAGCTCGGACACAGCGCAGGCAGAGCCAGCGCATCTGTGCCCAGGTATGTGCCCCAGTCTGCTGCTGCTACGGCTCTTTGGTCTAATGCGCCTGTACCAGTGGAGATCCCTGTGCTGAAATACCTCTTTACCTTCCTTGTTGGCAGCAGCCCTTCAAAATGAGTGTTTGTGAAGGTAACGTTACCAATGACAGTTAGACACGTGACCTAAGCTCTGAAGCTACCGAGTCACACTGTGCATGAGGGGATGATTAAGGCAAGAAAGGGAGGCCCTGCCCCACTTCTTCCACCCTTCATGCCACTGGACTTGGACTATTCCTCTAGCTTTTCCTGGGTCGCTCTTGGTAGTGGTTCAAAACTCCTCTGCCACAGGTATCCACTTCACCAGATCGCTTTGTTACGGATCCCTGACATGCAGTTCAAGTCAGTTTTCAACAAGGTCTTTGCCCGGGCAGATACCCAGCCGCTGCTCCCACCGTGGTGCCTAGGCATGGGTGATGAACTTGCCTCACCAGCATCTCTGGACGGGTCCGGGTGGCTGCGGACCGAGGCCAACGCCAGCTGTCCCTGGGTCCCCTGCAGCTATGGCAGATGACCCGGTGTCCCTGACAGCCACCTGCATCCATCCCCCTTTTCTTGCCCTCTGCTTTTCCGCGACACCCACTTCCTTTCACCTGCCACCCTAAGAAGTGACTGTAAAATCATAAAGCGCCTGAACTTGAAGGTGGGTTTTAAAGGAAGGGGAAAATAAATAAATAATTAAATCGTCTAAATAAATTAGATGAAATCTCGGAAAAAATAAACAAAAAAAAAAGTTATTTGCTCCTCTAGCACCGCCTGCACAGCACCCCGCGGCCCCGGCGCGGCTGCGGCTGTCCCCGCCCGGGGCTGTCCCC